TCAGAGCAATTTAAGCACAGTCATTTTGGAGAAAATCACTGCATAGTAATTTCCTCATAAGGTCAGACCCTCAACACCTCCATATAAGGAACACTCCAGCTCGGACCAGTTGCTAAATCAAGAATGATTTCCTAAATCAATACGAACTTCTTCTACACCTTGTAGGCTAGATAATCATTAAATAAATGTTTGTTTATTGCCACTTATAATAATTATGATATAATAAAATGTTTCATTAATCTGTGCTCAATGATTGAAGTTCTAAATGGCACTCGCAGAGTACAGACGCTTCTCTTTTTGCTTCCTTATCTTTTTTTTCCCAAGACTCTTTGTCCTGTCTGCCCACAGAGCGCGTCTCTGCATTTCTTCAGAAAAACCCTATTTTTTAACAATGGATTTGATAAATTGGTCATTCAATGCGATTAATAAGATTTTTTCAACAATGAGAACGGAGCAGGGGGCTCCCACTTGCCCACAAGGGACACACCCGACGGGGTATATGCTTGATTCCTGGAAGGAGTGGAAGATCGTATGCCTCTCCCAGCTGTCCATTGAGGACGTCGAAGACGTGTGGATGTTTGGCCTGATGATCACTGGCTTTCTTCTGATTGGAGTGGGAGGATATCTGGTTTTATGGAAATTTGGGAAGACGGGAGCGATTGGAGGGCGACCCGCAACCACGGAAAGCACCGTCCGTGTGGAGACCTCACAGACTGGGACGCTACTCGAGATGAATCTTAAGCTGGACAATGTTCTAGCTGCGATACCGGTATTAGTGCGCAAAATGGATGTCATCACGGAGAGGGTCACCGGATGGTACGGACAAGTTTAAAAACCAAATTGGCTTCACTGGAGGACTTGAATGGTCAGTTTAAAGACTGAAGGCAGAGAGAAAATTATCTCAGCCTGACCCAAACAAAGTCCTGTTATTCGAATCTGACGCCATAGCTGATAGGTAAAAAACTGATTGTCAAACAGAGTTACCTCACCCTTATTTACATTTAAATGTTTGCAGGAACTCCTTTCTGCTTCAGGTACTTTTGTTCTATTATATGGAGGCCAGACCGGCCAGACCGGGAGTCTCTTTTGCAGGAACGCCGTCCTGCCAGACCAAGAGACTCGTTGATCTATTATCTGAAGAATCCCTTTTGTCTTCTGTGGATTCCTGAGGCAAAGGGGTTTTTTGAGGAATTTATGGGTATTTATCTCTTTGGTGTGTGTGTGTGTGTGTGTTCTTGCAAATAAATTCGCTCCACAGTTTCGGCTCGGTGTGAGAGCAAACTGCCTTTCGTATGGTGTGTATTGATTCTCTCACCCTTTGCAAAGCATTCTTGTGGTTTTCATGTTGTCTGATTACAATTTACCAAATTATCAATCTAATCCCTCTGTGTGTGCTTTGACTTTCTTTGAGGTAATATGGGACTAATATAAAAATTACCCAACAATAGCAGCCTTCAAGATGCTAACAACAAACCCCCACGAAGGAATGCAGACAGATGCTGCGAAAACCTGACCTACCCGACGATGAGTCTAGCAGAAAGGAGCTGGATGAAGCTCTAAAAGAGAATGCAGTGTTGTTGGATAAGAAATTGAGAGCAGAAAGTCCATTTGCTGTTATGGAGAATGAGATAAATGCTCTGAAGATTGATCTCTTAACAATCAGGAAGGACGTACGAGAGTGGGATACTGAAATTGCTGATTTAAAATCACAGATTTCTGAGCTCACTGGAGAAAGAAGGGGGACCCTTCAACCCTCCCGGCTCCACCTGCTCCTCCACCCGCCGCTCCTCCCGCTGCCGTTGCGACCGGTGTGGTTGTGCCGGCTCCTCAGCTGAATGCACCACATCCATCTCCTCCAGCACCACTGCCCCCATCTGGTGGTGTGGCTGAACTAGCTCCCCAGCCAGCTCAACCATACCTACCCACCTGCTGCACCTGCCGGTGCTGCTGCGGTGATGGTACCAGCTCCCCAACCAGCTCAACAACACCTTCCTGCTGCTCAGCAACATAACCCACCAGCAGCTCAACATTATCCACATGCTGCTGCGATGTTCGAGCCAGCATTCCAGCCAGCCCAACCACACTCACCTGTGACCATGGCTCACATCAATAGGATGTCTCGTAGCGTCAAGAGATTCAATCCTCGACCAGGTAATTCATACCCAGTTGATACGTATCTTAGTGACCTTCGAAACCATTTTCAGAGATCTCCTGGAGTGACTCGAGGACAAGATCTTTCTGATAAGGTTAACCTCAGATGCAGTGGGTTCATTCATTGATCGCCAGCAAGATGTGATTGCAAATGATTACGACTGGCTAGAAGCTGCAATTCGAAGAGAATCAACTTATGATGCTAAAGAAGCTGGTTTAAAGTTAGCTTTGTCAGTCAAACAAGGTTGTTCTGTAGACCCACAAGCTTTCTACGCCTCTTTGACACGTACTTTGGTTCAGAATGTAAAAAGGGGATGGAAGATGATAAAGGCTTTAAAGAGCTTTTCCTTGATAATTTGCATCCTCAGTGTAGCCCTATATGGGTGCGGTAGACCTTTGAGTCAAAACCATGGGTGATCTCAGGAGGATGGCAAGTTATAGCTTGAGGCAGTTCAAAGATTCAAGTAAGTCCAAGGACACCCCTTCGGTCCTGGCGGTGGAGGCAGATCCCTCCACGCTGCGACTCGATGGGACTACATCAGGAACTCGTAAAGGTAATAACCGAAGTCCTGGTGCTAAATCACAGGCCCAGAAGTCCTATAACAACTCCAAGCTGCGAGGCTTTTCCACTAACAGGTCTCAGAGTTTTGCCAGAGCTTGGAGCCCCCCACCGGCTGGTGAGGGGGACCCTAGGTCACCACGACTTGGTCTTGAGAAACATCGTGTCTCTTTCAGAGGAAAGGGGGGTTCATCATACTCCTCTAGGAGAGAGTCGTCTCGCTCAGGCGAGCGCCGACCTCCCTCTGACCGGTACTCACCGCGTCATGGTCGCAGAGATTACAGTTCTGCCCCAAGGCCGAGAGCTGATTCTAGGTGCCATTCTCCTGGAACGACTTGCGCCACACTGAGTACTGCACTTCGGGCCCTGTTGAAAGATCCATCGGCATGTGAGTCGGTTCTGTCCATCTCTGTGGCAGACCCTCCTCCACCTCCTGAACCAGCATGTGACTTGGTCGTAGAAGCAGGTCCTGCAGAGGCGAAGCCTGCCACAACGGCGCGTCCGATGGCACCTGTGACCTCGGCGAGGTCTGGTGTGGTCGCTTCCATCAGCGCTGGTCCTCTAGCATCCAAAGCACCTGCCACCCAACCCGGCGAGCCTAGCTCACCGGTCAGACTTCCACTAAGGTTGCTCTGCAATATCGTCCATGAGGGTCCTAATGAGAAACCTCACATTCCAGTGACCCTGGAGAGGGCGCTTGACTGAGGGCATCTTGGACTCCGGTTCAGATTTCACCATCATGTCCAGTTCTCTCTGGGAGCATGTCCGCTTGGCTGCAGCTGCACAGGGTCACGTCTTAGAACTCATGCCCTGCGCTGTGAACATCTGTCCTTACTCTTCAGGTCAAATGACCTTGTCGAATGTGGTGTTCCTAAACTTCGCAGTGGGAGACATGTCCGTGAGCCATCCAGTGTTTGTAGCTGATGTCAAAGCTTTTCCTTTCCTGTTGGGGGAGGACCTGCTCCGATGCTTTAAGGCTGTCATTTCATTCGGTGATTGGACACTCCGAACTCGGCTGACTCAACCAACGCCCATCAGAATTCATTCATCAGAATGCTTTTCAACAATAGGATTACGAAGATCTTAGGAAAGTTCTTTGCTTTTACCCATCATGAAGTCTTTCCTGCATGCCTCCTGCTGAGAAGCCCTAATAGGCCATCAGTGTCATGGTCTGCGTCTTCTTTCATGTGTCTCCTGATGTTTCTCCATCCCTCTCTAGATTCCCTTTTGTGTCACATAGCGCCCTCATGTGTCCTTTGTCTGCATCTCAGTTATGTGTCTTATGTTGTAGCCCTTTAAAAATCATTCCTCCCAGGTCCTGTGTCATTCATTCCCCTGCTCAAGTGTGTGTGTGTGTGTGTGTGTGTGTGTGTGTGTGTGTGTGTGTGTGTGTGTGTGTGTGTGTGTGTGTGTGTGTGTGTGTGTGAGCCCTTCCCGCAGTCTTTTAGTTTGGTTTTGTGTTTATAGTTTTAGGTTTATCTGTCCTCCTTTGGTTCTGTTTCCCCATTTAGATAATTATTGTCACCTGCCTTCCCTCCAGCCCTCACTCCACACACCTGCTTCCTTTTTCTTTTATTGTTCTCCCTGTGTATTTAAGCCCTGTCTTGTCTCTGTTTGGTGTCGGTCCATTGTTGTTTGTATGTCAGCGTTTTCTGATGCTCTGTGTGAGCTTTGTGCTTCATCCCAGTTTTGTGCTCTAGGTGAGCTTTTGTTTCTTCTGCACTTTTGGATTTTTGGCTCGCTGCCATTTGGATTTATTTTTGTTCTTCCTACAATAAAAGGATTTTTACTTTACATATCAACTCCTGCCTCGTGTCATCCTGGGTATCTGCATTTTTGGGTCCAAACCATCCCCATAACGTGACAATCAGTTAGGACTAAAGTAGCTGATAGTACTGATAAGGGGTGGGGTTTCTTTCTCAATGCTGACAGATTTCAGGTGATCTTCTGGCTTCCTATGCCATATTTCATGTGTTTAATAATTATTCTGTGTCTTTTCACTTTATCACACGATTCAATTTAAGGACTTAAATGTTTTGATGTCTTTGCATAAATTAAAATATTTGAGTATTTGGTATTATTTGGTATTATTATCAATAACAATATTGATATGTGGTGGAAGTTTTGTGTCCTATTATTTTCCCCACTGTATATCATCATTATCTCAGCATCTGATTTAAGGTCTTAACTTTATAATTTTAATAATCATACAGCCCAAAAAGAGGCACTAAGCACAGCATGGTACTAGCTCAAACTTCCTCTATAAAATATAAACTTTGATTAATAGTACCTGTAGGTCTCTCAGCTGGTCCAGCATACGGAGTTGCTGCTGCTCACGTCCTGCCAGGTTTGACGACAGTTCCTTACATGTAAAGAAAAGAAAGGTCAGATTTTAAGCGAGGACTGCTTCTACTAGAGTAAAAATAGCAAACAGAGGGAAAAAGAAAATATAAATAATGAGTTTAGGGTGAAGCAAAACAAGAGCACCATTCTCTTTCACTTATATGGTTTTAAGCACAAGGAAATGAGATCTAAACAGATCTTTACAGTAAGTATACAAAAACTATGTATAAAACTACAGCCTAGAGGCTCTTCTATGCAATGTTAGGGATGCAGAACTGTCAAGTACTCGGATGGCAGGAATGGCCAATCACGTTAGCAAGTATTCAATAGACGAGCTTATGAGCCTGTTTATCTAATGATAAACAGGCTTCAACACAAGCGGTTGTTTTGCTCAACCAGTGTCTATTTAATATAGAGTAATATTTTTTAACAGTAAAAAACTTGAATCTTTAATCTGTTGACTATCATTCTATCTCATCATTCTGGACTTCTGGTCCACTCGTCTTTACAATGTTGTTTCACTTCATATTGCTTTCTGCTTTTTCATCTGCTGCTGTGTTTGGATCATGGTTCTGTTTTATGACCCAGTTTTTTCCTAACTTTAGCTTAGCAAACTTATATTAGACTCTAGAAGACCTTGGTCTACAGAGGAGTTCATGGCGGACCTATTCACTGTAAGGATCTCACACCATCAGCCCTCCACCTCTGTGCTGACAGCTTATATCAGCAGTTTGCTGCTGTGCATTATGGGTAAGCATGTCTACTTTGGTCCCATCTATCCAAATTGTTCCAGAAGTCTTATATTTAATTCAGATGGGCTTTTACAAACCAAAGACATGATGCCATGCTTGTTTTAGAGAGTAGAGCAGTCCTTCCAAACAAACCAGTCTTAATGTTGTTGTCCTGCTGTACACTTTAACCTCTGACCTGCTAACTGAGGCCAGTAGAGTGAGATGGGACTCTTTTTTTTTTTACAATTTCTCTGAGCTTTCCGTGGTCCGAATTTGTGGTGAACTTGCTTCGCCACCAACAGTGGTCTTAAGGTATTTAGATATAGCTCAACCTAAAATACCAAATGGAGGATTAAACCCCTGCTTTTTTAGAGGTGAATTTGCTTTATGACACGAGGAATCTGATGTGTCTCTAGCTGAACTGAGGTTAGATTTGATTAACAAAAAACGTAATGACAGTATAATTTTTTGTGAATATGGTGATGAAGCAAAAAAGGACCAACAACTAAGTAAAGGTGAAAACTGAAGGTTTGTAGAGCGCAAAGATAGAGAAGTTCTCACAGACAGGTCAATGAAGGCTATGCGATTACCTATCCATGAGATCATTGAAAAAACAGCAGAAAATTAGGCTAAAAGAAAATTTGATCTGGATAAAATTTATGTTAAATGTACAATCAAAAGAAATTTGATGTTTAAAGTTTGATGATTGTGTAGAAAGAGGTCAAAAAAAAGGATACACAGGTCTCATTTAGGTTTATAAATCAAAAAAGACTGTTACTAGTTCGGGGTAATTAGTCATACACTGATTAGTCTTCGACAGCATGTAAATCCATCTCCCCTGTTCACATCATTACACACAATTTTTGCTTGTTTGCCTCTAAAATAAAACATTTAATTTGTCTTTTGATCCAAGTATAGGAACCATGAGAGACGCCGCCAGTGCAAACACCCACACCTACGCTGCACCAGGAGACAAGTGGGTGTTTAAACACATTTCCACTGAAAGAAACAGAGATAGAAGATTTGTGCCATGATTGTGCCACTTACCCATTTAATTACATTCAGCTGACACCTACCATAATCAACACCACTAGTTTGAACTGGAATGATGATTTTATGCACTTTAAGAAGAGGATTGACCTTTGCACCAGCTTGAGAATGGTAAATGGCCTGTATTTGTATAGCACCTTCTGAAGCTTGGTTTATGCTTGACGCATTCACTTTCCGCGCGGTGATGCGGCTCGCGGCTGGAACGCGCTTCACAACTCGCGTTTATGGTTTGTGCGGCTCGTCTCTGCGGTGAGCCAATATTCTCCCAAACTGTAGGGGGCAGCATGGAGCTCTACGGCATGCATCCAACACTACACCATAGTAGAAGTAGAAATTACTGTTTACAACATGGTATTTCAGCATTTTTAACAGCGTTCTCGTCTTTTCCGGCAGTGCGAGCTATTTCTCTCCAAGAATTATTAACAACATGTTGATCACGGTGATCCCTGAGAGCTGAATCATACAAATGTCTGTATTTACGAACCTCTGCCGTGCCGGTCCGCCATGTTTTTCCGCGTCCGACCGTCCGCGTGGTTAGAAAATTTCCGAGGTGCGCGTTGCGGAAATCTTGGGCCGTGCGGAGACGCGGTGGAGGGGCGTGGTTGTTAAAATGACGCAAAATGACGCAACGTTTCCGCCCGGAGCCGTGCGGACCTCGCGGACACGTCAAGCATAAACCAACGTTTAGGGTTCAACAACCCCCCAAGGCGCTTCACAATGCAATGAATTTTCACCCATTCACACGCTGGTGATGATGAGCTACGATGTAGCTACAGCTGCCCTGGGGCACACTGACAGAAGCGAGGCCAATCAAACACTGGCGCCACCGGTCCCTCCGACCACCACCAGCAGGCAAGGCGAATTAAGTGTCTTGCCCAAAGACACAACAGCAGCACTTTCTGGTCAGAGCTGGAATCAAACTTGCAACCTTCCAATTACTGGACAACCCAGTCTACCTCCTGAGCTACTGGAAGAATAAATGAGGTCAGTTATTCTGTTTAAAGGGTTGTTTTATCTGGTTTATTTAAGAGGATCAAGGGCTTTAATGGCCAAGGATCGGAGTATGTTTGAAGAGAATTAGATAAATAAACGTCTGTGATCAGGTGGAGGAAAGTTAGTGTTGTGTTCATATGGCGAAAAGATATTTTCAGTTTCTATCAGGAAACATCATGAGGAGACTGAGATCCTTTGGCGCATGCAGGATTCTGTTAAGAACTTTTTATGATTCAGTGGTAGCATCTGCCCTTTCTATACAGTGGTCTGTTGGGGGTGCGGATGTAAAGACACGGACAGGAGCAGAATTGACAAACTGGTGCAGAGGTCTAATTGTGTACTGGGATGCCCTCTAAAGTCTGTGGTGGTGCAAGAGAAGGATGTTAGCTAAGTAGAGCACTTTGTCAAGCAGGGATTTATCAGTAAAGCCCCAATGTTTTAACATGCTTTCTGTAACATCACCCGGTGTATTTAGTTTGTTAGTACTGGTGTGTTCATTGTGTTGGTGCTGGTGTGTTTGGTTTGTTGGTGCTGGTGTGTTTAGTTTGCTAATACTGGTGAGTTTAGACTGTTAGTGCTGGTGTGTTTAGTTTGTTGGTGATGGTGTGTTTAGTTTGCTAATACTGGTGAGTTTAGACTGTTAGTGCTGGTGTGTTTTTTGGTGCTGGTATGTTTAGTTAGTTTGTGCTGGTGTGTTTAGTTTGTTTGTGCTGGTGTGTTTAGTTTGTGTAACGGAATGAAATGACTGTTTTCCACCTAAAAGTCATTTCCCCCCTCTCCTCAGCAAGAACTAATCTGCGTGAGATATTGTTCAAGGTTTAATGCATCTGCTTCTAAACTGTTTTACTTTCTAGCTCAAGAGAAGAATGAAGACAAAGGACTTTTTCCTTTTAATAAATCAAAGAACTCTATTTTTTAATAAAGCTAATCAAACAAAGTATTAGTCAATAATAAAATGTTGACCAATCTGTGAAATGACAATGTTATGATTAGTAAGTTTAATGAGTAATATGACTTTAATCTAGCTGCACTAGACATCCTGATCACACGTAATGTAAACGCATGACACATTTGCTTTTACTCATCCAATCGGAACCTTCCTTTCTGAAGCGTGGCATAGTCTCTGTGGTGTTTATAAATCTGCCAACTTTGATTCATCCATAAATCAAAACATCCAGATTAATAAAACCAGTCCCCACGCCATCTTAGTTCAGTTCTCTGCAGTTCACCGCATACTAAGAGAAGTATCGGACCGGCCACCCGGACTTGCTTTTTAAGCAAAGAACCAACAAGCTGGATAAAATCTGTTGCATTTTACCAACCAAGCAACAGGTTTCCTTCAGAATAAAAGCTGAACTCACTGACCATCCGGGTCCATCTGATGCTGTAAACAAACTGTTGATTTTTACCTGGAGACAATCCAAAGACTAGTCTGTCGTACTGCTGACGCTGTTTCATCGGCTCCGGTACCGAAAGAGGGGTCCGAGGACCTGGCATTCTGGATCTGTATGGAGGTCTCATTCTAAGGGTATGTGTGGAGCGACAAGATGGCGTCTCATGTGTTTATGACACTCCGATCATAGCTTAAGAGCAAAAATCACAACATCATTCAGACTTGCTTCTCCGGATATGAGAGTTCTGATGACAACATCACTCACACATACACCATTCATCTCATGTCTCATTCACACCAAGATCCATCCATTCACTTAGAATTTAGAGTTAGTCTTGTTTAAAATTGTTTAGAAATAAATCTTCTTAAATATTTTAAAGGTGACTCTCTCTTCTCTCGTCTCTCAGTTAATACGAAGTGTTACATAATCCCTGCAATAAAAAGTTCCAATCTTCAGGTTAAAAGTACCCAAAGACCCATAAGATTGATTTCATATTCACTATAGAATCTCATGTCTTACAGTTCATTATATAGATGGAAATTAACCCTTTACATTTGTTTGTGCTGGTGTGTTTAGTTTTGCGTACAAGTGAACGCTACACTGTCCGTACGAAATCAAACTGACGCTATCCTCCTCCGACTGTACTGACCCTAATGTGTAAACCTTCTCAGTGGCGTGGTGGTAGAGTGTCTGCCCAGAGGCTGGGAGATCAGGGTTCATATCCTCGTAGGGTCATACCAAAGACTTTAAAAATGGGACCCAGTGCCTCCCTGCTTTCAACTCAGCTGTTGTCAAATGCAGAAATGAATTTCACCAGTGTGTGATGACTAATGGGAATTTAACTTTAAACACCAATGGTAGAGCCTGAGAAGAAACAAAGAAAACCTTTATCTTTGGGTTAAAACAAATAAAAATAATGTTCAACCACAATAGGATCTAAACGAGTCAACATTGAGAGACAAGGATTCATACTGGATGCAGACTTAATGATCACCTTATTGCTCTTGTAAGTACAGCTTTAATATAATAATAATAATAATAATAATAATAATAATAATAATAATAATAATAATAATGCACTGAACTTATATAGCGCTTTTCTAGACACCCAAAGATGTTTTCACACACTCTCACATTCACACACTGCTAGTGATGGTAAGCTACTTGTAGCCACAGCCGCCCTGGGGAGGTCTGACAGAGGCGAGGCTGCCACTTGGCGCCGTCGGCCCCTCTGACCACCACTAACACAGCCAAGTTGGGTGAAGTGTCTTGCCCAGGGACACAACAGCAGGATACCCCTGGCGGGAGCTGGAATCGAACCCATGACCCTCCAATCATGAGGCAACCCGCTCTACCACTTGAGCTACTGCTACCCCATGTTTGTGCATGTTTTAGCTTTCCCAGGGGGTATAATTAATTCTAAATATGTTTGTCAGGCGGTAATGATCATGTCCCGTTTATCACTCACCCTAAGACCCACATAAGCTCTCTTCTTACCTGGCCAGCCAGCCAGTCAGCCGGCAGGCGCTCCCAGCCCTGTTGGCTAGCCGCTCGTAGCTTGTAGAGTAACTTGTGATCACCCAGCACTCTGGATCCACGTTTGGTTTTGCTAACATGCTACAGCCTTTCCCTGTGGTTCCCCCTCTCAGAATCTGTCATATTTACCAGGAACTCTGTTAGTCTGTGGTAAAGTGGCTAGCTGACATGCTAATGCTGGAGTCTGCTTTCAGCATGATTCCTGTATGTTTTTGATTGTGAACACAACTGACTTGTGTGATTTAGTGATGACCCGCTCCTGTAGAAATGAAGGCTCTGGAGACATGTCAGCTGTTAGATTAAGGTGTTAAAAAGATGAAGGCACAGAGAGGAGTTTTGGCTTTTCAACAATGAGTTAAAATCATTACATTTCTCTGTAAACTCCAGGAGTCACACTTACAACGCAGAACTGAAACAGATATGCTTCTCACACACACCTTGACCTGTAAGCTCAGATGGAGCCTCTCCTTCTCCTTGCATTCAAGAATCCTCTTCAGCTCCTCGACCTCACCGAGCACCGAGGCCCTGGACAACTGAGCCCGCAACTCAGCCACTTCCTTTTCCAGGCCTGAGCGATCTATACATCCCCCCCGCATGCCCATGGGCAGAGGCAAAAGTTGTTAAAATTCAGGACAGGAAAAGTAGAACACCTAACGGCAAGAAACTGGAGCAGAAGAAAAACGTGTTAAAAATGTAACTGGATTAAATTTGAATAAAGAAACTAGAGAAATAAATATTAAAGTTCCAGTTGTAAATTATTTTTAAACCTTTCACTGAGGATGGCCAGCCATTTAGTTAATTACAATAAAATGCATTAATTTCTTGTCTTCCAACACCTTTTTTCTCTTGTTATCCCAGTCTGTTTTAAGTCTGCTACCATATCCAGGTGGTCCTTGGCACCATACTCACCCTGACTGATTCTGCATCGAGCCTGAGCCATTTCACCAGTCTCACATTTCCCTCCAACAGCTGGCTCTGTGTGCTGTCTAATGATTTTCTTTTCAAATTTTGATTTATTGCATGAATATAAAACCAAAACTCTATTTTAGAAGCTTACAAAGTTAAGATGGGAACTTTTTTAACTAAACACTAAATATGCATTCAAATCTGTTTCCTGATTTCCTGCCTTCCTCTCCCCCCGGACAGATCAGTACCTGACCCATGCAGTCGACCTCTTTCCCCTTCTCGCTCGGTGTGGTTGCCACACAGCTGAGCACCGAGCTGAGAAGTCTCCATTTGTGCCCTCTGAAGCACCGTCTTCTCATTCCTCATCCTCAGCAGCTCGCCGCGCATGTCCTCCACCTGGGGACCAGCAGACACACTTAACTGTCTCACAGTGCAGAGGTGTCCTGCTAGGGCTCTTCACAGCTTACGGTTTCCATCTCATGACGTTTCCTGCACATCTGTGTTTGTAATCAGGCGAAAGAACAGGGCAACTAACCTGCTGAGCCAGGGCCTCCCTGCTGTCCTCTGACTGCTCCAGTAATCTCCTGGCTTGCTTTAACTCCTGCTCCATCTGCAGATCACACAACGTGAGCTGTGGAAAAGTCTGCAGAAAATTTTCTCAAAAGTCTTTGAGATCTACTAGATGTTTGTCCCCGCCTTTTTGAATCACCTTTGACCTTAACCTGACCTAACTGAGACCTCCAGAACTTTAGATGTTGTTCTGGGTTCTTTTACTCTTGAATCTCAACATCAGCCTGACTCTGCTGAAGTGATTTATCGGGTCTGAGGGGTGGCTGGTGGAACCCAAACCAGCTTTCCAGATAATAGAAATCAATGTTAACTTATAACTTAACAAGGAGGCAATTGCTTTTTCTTACGGAGCCTGGCTGGTTTGAATAGATTTGTCTCAGATAAAATTTTGTCTCCAAGGCTGACGTGAAACATTCTTTTGGCATAGCACTGTACAAAACACTGAAACATGTTGTTTCTACAGCCAGCTGTTTTAAAATCAGCAAAAAAAAAAGATGTTGTACAAGAAAAACATTTCAATAATTGTGATTTTTATTTTTTATTTGTGGAATTTCACTCACCTTGGACTTCTCCCTCTTTAGCAGTCTGGTTGTCGTGGATTCTTCATCATGAGGCCGTCTCCCTAAACTCTACAAAAACACAAATAAAAGGATGCAGAATAAGATACGTTGTGGCATTGCAGAAGCACCCCTCCACCCCACCGTACTCTTCTAACTGGAGTACAGTCACCAGCGTGCATTTTTTCCTTCCAAAACTTTATTAGAAATGCTTCCGGATGTTTTAAATCCCAACAGACGGAAATGAAAGCGAAACGGTGGCAAGAAAAGGAAGAGGTGGGGAAAATTTCACAAAAATAAACACTAAAGGATGTACAAGAATTTGCTTCTAGACCTGCAGAAAGAGGGGAAAAGAAAAGGGAAACAGCATGAAGATGTATAACAGTAACAGCTTTAGCTGAAAAGCACACAGTAATAATTTATAGTGCATTTAGTGCCAACCACAGCCTTAGGTTATGTGTCAAAAACACCCAAGTCCATACGTGTGACGGCACCGTGTGAGCACCTATGTGTGTACACGCACTTGTGTATATAAGGCTTCTCTACAGGAGTCTCCAATAGTGAGTGTGAAGGGCCCCAGACCTGCCCCCAAAGACCCACAGAATATGGAGGAGATCCAAAGCTCCTCCCGGAGCGTGGTGCAGAGGAGCACCCCGGGGGGCCAATCAGCAGCCATGTCAGAGGCCCAGGAGATAATATCGGCAAGCCCGTCCGCAGCCGCCCACTCCAGGGTAGGCCGAGCTGCGGTACCAGAGCCCCCATCCCACTCAGGCCATGGTGATGAATTACTGCTGCTCCCAATAACAACCCAAGTGACTCTTTATGTTTGATTTACATCACAGAGGCATCAGCAGGGAACAACTGTGCCCTCTGCTCTCCCTCTTCTCATGCTCTTCAGCAGCATAAGATATTATTTTCCTCTTAATTTCATCGTGCTTGTTTACTCTTGATTTTTGGACAAATGCTGTATTTCCCATCGTCCCCCTCTCCAGGCCCTGCTGGTGTCCCATTAGGGCACTACGCTGAAGAGGAATTCATAACATGAAATTGATTGCTGCTGTCATTACGCAGCAGGGTCAGAGCATTCTTAGCTTGCTCACAGCTACACAGCACCCTCTTGTGGCTCACTGATAAAGTACAGACAATAAAACATTTGTTAAGAGGAAAAATGTGTTGTTTATTTTTTTACCCCATTTTGGGAAAAAGGATATAAATTATTTCCATGCATGGTTTTGGGTCAAAACTACAAAGAGCCCCTTCAGAGGGACCAAAGAGACGCATGTGCCCCTAGAGCCTCAGGTTAAAGACTCGCTCGCTGTGTGATGAAGCAGACAGATGGGTGTCTAACCCTCCCACCCTCTCCAAATATTACTAACAAATTTTACCTTTGGGGTCAAATTGGCACCAAGAATTAATAAAAGTTTAATAAAGGTTTACTAAAGCTTTACCATGGAAGAAACATAACTTCTCACTTCAGGATAAAGCTGCATGACATTAAGTATTTCATTAAGACTTGATTAACAAATGCACCATTGCTTCTAATTGACTTGAACATTTCTGATTAGAGCCACTAACTGCCTGAACGGAAGCTTATTCTGTTATTAAGGTGACATTTCTTAAAGGTGGGGTTTACTCATTTACTCAATACATGTGTCGTGTTCTTTAGTGTAAATCATTGCCTTTTTTGCTCAGCCTTAGGGATAGGGTGAGGAGCTCGGACATTCGGGGGAGACTGGGAGTCGAGCCGTTGCTCCTCCATATCGAGAGGAGTCAGTTGAGGTGGTTTGGGCATCTTGTTAGGATGCCTCCTGGACGCCTCCCCAGGGAGGTGTTTCAGGCATGTCCTGCCAGCAAGAGGCCCCCTGGTCGACCCAGGAACTGGCCCAGGAATGCCTTGGGGTCCTACTGGAGGAGCTGGTGGAGATGGGCGGGGAGAGGACGGTCTGGAACTCCTGCGACCCAGACCCGGGTCGGCGGCAGAAGACGAGACGAGACAGTGCCTTTTGAGTAATTTGAAAACCAGAAAGCTATGGCGCTCCTGTTGTGAGATGCAGAAGTTTGTTGGTGCAGAGGTGGGCAGAAAACAGCAGGACTGCTCGTAATTATTAATTATATACACACGCCTCACTTCTGATAGGCTAAAAGAACATGTTCAGCCATGTTGCAATGTCACTACCTCTCCTCGCTGCAAATTTGTTTAAAAAAGCTTCCCTTGGGGCAGGCACAAGCCAAGATAGGCAGGGCCATGAGTGTAAATTCACATTGTGACATAGATATGTGCGGATTCGCAAATCCTAGTGTTTCACTGTGTATTTTCTAACAGAAGTTAACACAGGAGATGGGGGTAGGAGACGGTACAGTAAGACATTAGAAACATTAAATATTCTTGCAGTCAACCACACCTTTAAAAGGAATTACAAAGTAATTCAGCTGTCATTTAGAAACGCAATTATCCTTCCAAGAATAAACTTTCTGCTCCCGCTTGTGCTGCTGCTGGGTTCCTGGAAAATTCAGCATCATTAAGTGGTCTGAACACCAACAATCTGCAGAAATCACTTTGTGCTGCTCCACTCTTTGAATATGTAGAGGTAAAAGCTGCTGACGTTCCTTTTATTAGAAACGTCTCTCCATTTGCGGACAACTGACTCCACTCAGATTTGTGAGGAAGACCAGCAAACACCTTCTACTGCTGAGAGCGAGTGAAGGAGGAGTGGTGAGAGAGAAGGTCACCTCCTGCAGAGTGTCTGCCGCCCGCTGCTCCGGTCTTCTGTCCCTCTCCAGCTCCTGCAGACGCCTCTCCACGTGAGACGACACCTGCAGATACAGCAAAAGCAGTGTGTGGACACCTCGTATCACGTAAGCCTCGCCGGGAGCGGCGTTGGGAAGGTGATTAATGAGACATCAGGGAATGAAGGCATGGGCGTCAGAAAATTATCTCTGATGACTGGCTGGAAGTAACACATTCACCACAACTAATCAGGAAGCGGCACATCCGACTGGAAAGGACAGTTAAAACTTTATCTCGTCACATCCCCACACAGAAGATAACAAATATTAAACACACTGGCTGTCAGCCGGAGCTGCGCTTTTGTCTCTGTAACCATGGGAAGTGAGGATCTGCTAGTTAAAGAGACATTTGGCCATTTTTAAAGTGATTCTGTGTAAAAGTCATGAAGAATTATAAACTTACTTTATAAACATCTGCAGTCGGTTTCACATTATTCACAAACGCAAAAACATTTTTTTATATACATTTACTCATGTTTCCCCTTTTAAAACTCCTGCCAGATATCTGTGCTGCTAAAATAATAAACAGTGCAGCAGCAGTGTCAGTAACACACACCCTCTGATACTACAGGACTGGTAACTGAAGCTACACATGGCATTCTGCTGAGCTGAGAGCCTCCTGGAGGGGGCCATCGGCTGGTTGTCCAGGTGGGATTTACTACGATTGTGAGACTGACATCAGGTCCATTAAAGATGTTTGTTGTTGTGGAATTTTACAGATTGGCGCCATTTTATTATGGTAACTATGAAACTTTAGCTGCATAGATACTATCCTTTAGACCAGGGGTCTCAACCCGTTTTGGCCCTTTTACACAGTGAAAGTACAGAAGAGCTACTGCTACATGATTTATTCACACTGACATATTCCATGTGTGAATATGCTAATGTTAAAAATGCTATGCTTACTGTGTTAGCATGTGTGGTATTCACTAGTTGATTTCTCTGTATTTCAGTGCATCAATATAATAAAAAAGGAAAATAGTGACATTCTGAATATCCAACTAAACAAAACATTTCGTTTATTAACTGATCCGAAACTTTCAGATAATGAAATATAAATCTACTTTGTGTGAATGATTATATATTTTTTTAAAGAATGGATCAGTAACGTAACTTTTGGAGCACACAGGTCCCTGACCCCTGCCCTAAGCAGCAATGTCCGTTTTTCAGTGTTTTAGCTGTTCAGTCATAAATGAACAAATACTTCCAAAAACTATAGAAGGCCTTTTAAAGAACATTTAATCTTTTTTTAAATGGTATTAAATACAAAACTTTTTAAGTAATTATTTTGTTATGATTATTTTACCAAACATGCAACAACAATTCTCAAAATGGATCAAGCTGAAGGTGTCATGGTCTGCGTCAGCCCCCTTCCTTTATGTGCCTCCTGGTGTCCTCCATCCCTCTCTAGATTCCCTCTTGTGTCCCTTTGTTCCCCCAGCTCCCCTTGTGCTCTCTTAGCGCCCTCATGTGTCCTTGTCTGCATCCCTGTTATGTGTCTTATGTTGTAGCCCTTTGGCGCCCTCTTGTGTCCTTTTTCTGTGTCAGTTTCTGTGTGTCAGTTTGTGTGTCAGTCTAGTGTCTGATGTTATCTTTTACTGTTTCCTCCCAGGTCAGCTCCAGCCTCGTTGTCCCCAGCTCAGTGTGTGTGTGTGTACTATGTCCTCCTCCAGCTAGTTTGTGTTAGTCCTTCCCTCTGTCTTTAGGAAATTGTTGTTTAGTTTTGTGTTAAGGTATTTGCCATCCTCTGTTTCTGTTTTCCCCATTGAGTTGATTAGTGTCACCTGTCTTCCCTCCAGCAGCTCACCCCACACACCTGCTTCCTGTTTCCCTGATTGCTTCTCCCAGTGTATTTAAGCCCTGTCTGTCTCTGTGTTCTCGTCGGTCCATTAATGTTTGCTTGTTGTTGCTTGTCAGCGTTATTAGTCCTGTCAGTCTGCTCGTTCCTCTGGTGTTTTTGACTCCCTGGATTCTTGGATTTTGGCTCCCTCCGTTTGGATTTATTTTTGTTCTTCCTCAAAATAAAGGATTTTCACTTACAATTCAACTCCTGCCTCTTGTCATCCTGGGTTCTGCATCTTGGGTCCTAACCTCCTGCTCCCTAAACGTGACAGAATGGACCGACCACCAACACAGGACCCAGCGGGAACTCCAGGTACACAGGAGATCTATTACGATGGTGATCCAGACCTTTGTGTGGAGTTCATTCGGAACTGTGCCCGTTGTTTGGACTTGAAATCCTCAGAGTTCGACAAGGTGTCGTATATGGTGCTTTGGTTGAGGGGTAAGGCCTTGCAGTGGGTTGCTGACCACTTTGACATAGAGGATCTTAGGGCGGTGTCGTTTTGGGACTTTGCTGCATTGCTCCTCCGCACTTTTGGCCGAGATCCTCCTCCACTAGTCGCTCATGCCACCTCAGCATCTCAGATGGGTTACACCGCCACACCCTCACCAGGTCATGACAGCGCCACCACTTACTCTCCGGTGGGCTGTCATTCCTCCTCAGTTCCTGCCAGTGTCCTCTCCATACCTCAGCTGAGCCAAAAAAAACCACGCCGACGACGCCGCAACCGTCCTGCTCCAGCGGTGGTCCCGGTGGACGCATCGCCTCCTGCTCCAGCGGTGGTCCCGGTGGACGCATCGCCTCCTGCTCCAGCGGTGGTCCCGGTGGACGCATCGCCTCCTGCTCCAGCGGTGGTCCCGGTGGACGCATCGCCTCCTGCTCCAGCGGTGGTCCCGGTGGACGCATCGCACCTCGCCTCTGCGGTGGTCCAAGGGGACGCATCACACCTCGCCTCTGCGGTGGTCCAAGGGGACGCATCACACCTCGCCTCAGCGGTGGTCCAAGGGGACGCATCACACCTCGCCTCAGCGGTGGTCCAAGGGGACGCATCGCACCTCGCCTCAGCGGTGGTCCAAGGGGACGCATCGCACCTCGCTCCGGCGGTCGTCCCGGTGGACGCATCGCACCTCGCTCCGGCGGTGGTCCCGGTGGACGCATCGCACCTCGCTCCGGCGGTGGTCCCGGTGGACGCATCGCGTCCTGCTCCGGCGGTGGTCCCGAGGGTCGCATCGCGTCCTGCTCCGGCGGTGGTCCCGAGGGTCGCATCGCGTCCTGCTCCGGCGGTGGTCCCGAGGGTCGCATCGCGTCCTGCTCCAGCGGTGGTCCCGAGGGTCGCATCGCGTCCTGCTTTGACTGATGAGGTCCAAGAGGTCCCGGTCCCGGCCCAGCCTGTCCAAGAGGCTCCGGTCCAGCCCATCCATCTGGACCCGAAGTCGATGGTGGTCAACGGCCCTTCCTGTTCCGAAGTCGACGCCCCTTCCTGTTCCGAAGTCGACGCCCCTTCCTGTTCCGAAGTCGTCGCCTCTGATGACGACATGTCCAAAGTCATCGCCTCTGATGACGACATGTCCAAAGTCATCGCCTCTGATGACGTCCCCTCTGACGACGTCGCCGCCACCTCTCATGACGACATGTCCAAAGTCGTCGCCTCTGATGACGACATGTCCAAAGTCATCGCCTCTGATGACGTCCCCTCTGACGACGTCGCCGCCGCCTCTGATGACGTCCCCTCTGGCGACGTCGCCGCCGCCCCTGATGACGTCGCCTCCCCTGATGACGTCGCCTCCCCTGATGACGTCGCCTCCCCTGATGACGTCGCCTCCCCTGACGTCGGCTCTCCTGACGTCGGCTCTCCTGACGTCGCCTCCCCTGATGTCGGCTCGCCTGACGGCGTCGCCTCCCCTGATGTCGGCTCGCCTGACGGCGTCGCCTCCCCTGATGTCGGCTCGTCTGACGACGTCGCCTCTGGTCTGATGTCTCTTCTGTCTCTAGTTCCAGTGGTGATTCTGAAGGTCGCACCGGTCCAGCCTGTGTCCCCAGCCCAGCCTGCAGGGCTCCTCTACCGCAGGCGCCGCCCTCCAAGGGACTGTCGTCACCTCCTCATCTGCCCCAGGCGCCGACCCCCAAGGGTCCATCCTCGTCTCCTCATCTGCCCCAGGCGCCGACCCCCAAGGGTCCATCCTCGTCTCCTCATCTGCCCCAGGCGCCAGCCTCCCAGGGCCCGTTGCCTCCTCATCTGCCGCAGGGACAGGCCTCCTGACTCTGCTGATCCCTGCCGCCTCTCCTGTGGTCCCTTAGTCCCTCTGGGCCCTCCCTCCGGGTCCCCCTCCTCCCGCCCTGCTCCTGGTTCCTGTGGGCGTCTGGGATCCGCCCTTTGAGGGGGGGGGTACTGTCATGGTCTGCGTCAGCCCCCTTCCTTTATGTGCCTCCTGGTGTCCTCCATCCCTCTCTAGATTCCCTCTTGTGTCCCTTTGTTCCCCCAGCTCCCCTTGTGCTCTCTTAGCGCCCTCATGTGTCCTTGTCTGCATCCCTGTTATGTGTCTTATGTTGTAGCCCTTTGGCGCCCTCTTGTGTCCTTTTTCTGTGTCAGTTTCTGTGTGTCAGTTAGTGTGTCAGTCTAGTGTCTGATGTTATCTTTTACTGTTTCCTCCTAGGTCAGCTCCAGCCTCGTTGTCCCCAGCTCAGTGTGTGTGTGTGTGTGTGTGTGTGTGTGTGTGTATGTACTATGTCCTCCTCCAGCTAGTTTGTGTTAGTCCTTCCCTCTGTCTTTAGGAAATTGTTGTTTAGTTTTGTGTTAAGGTATTTGCCATCCTCTGTTTCTGTTTTCCCCATTGAGTTGATTAGTGTCACCTGTCTTCCCTCCAGCAGCTCACCCCACACACCTGCTTCCTGTTTCCCTGATTCTTCTCCCAGTGTATTTAAGCCCTGTCTGTCTCTGTGTTCTCGTCGGTCCATTAATGTTTGCTTGTTGTTGCTTGTCAGCGTTATTAGTCCTGTCAGTCTGCTCGTTCCTCTGGTGTTTTTGACTCCCTGGATTCTTGGATTTTGGCTCCCTCCGTTTGGATTTATTTTTGTTCTTCCTCAAAATAAAGGATTTTCACTTACAATTCAACTCCTGCCTCTTGTCATCCTGGGTTCTGCATCTTGGGTCCTAACCTCCTGCTCCCTAAACGTGACAGAAGGT